GCCCATGGGCGTTATTTCGAATATAGCAACAGATTTTCTGAATAAGGTTGTTAAGTAGTTCACAAAGGACTGGTTCGGACCGGATCTAGGATCGAACTTTTAGGGCCGGTCCGAAACTAGTCCAGATAAGAGTCATGAATACTTATGGCTAAAATTATATTAAACTGCTGGGTTATACCCGGATTTTTTAGGAACCGGACCTGGATTGGACCGAACGATCTCTTTAACTTCTCTATTTTGAACCCGGTTTTTTTCAAAATACATAATAGTAAGATGCGCATTATTTCGGGATGCGCATGGGCGTTATTTTCAATCCACATATTTTTAGGGGACGCGATTTTCGAAATAACGCCCATGCCCGCTATTTCGGTACCAGTACGAACCTTTTGATTAGTTATACAGTATTTTTTCCTACTTTAGAAAATCGTTATTATTAGATTCTTTGGTTCAATAATATAACTATAGAGAAAAAATAAAATAAAATAAACGGTAATCGTTTAATATCGATGCGAAGCTATGTTATGGTTACAACTTCTTTCTTTCATAATGAATAATCGTTTAATATAGATGCAGATTAAAATGAAATTTTGTATAATGTAGAATAGACATGCCACTGAAAAATACAAAATTTTGAGGTACTTTTTTTTAACTTTTTTTTAGGAGTAGGATCAGCATTAGGGACAGGGACAATGATTTTCTGCATTTCACAGAATACGTTAAAAATAGCACAGAACAGTGGCAGAAAGTAGGGTTTATAAGTAAACTATCCCAAAAATATAAGTAAAATATAATTTCCAAAAAGTTCTGACGTAGAAAATGCATGGATTTAGAAGAGGAGCGTGGTTATCCGAAATAATCCGAAGAAGGTTCAACCCGGGTGACCCGTCGGGCTGATCCGGGTAGACTGACGGGTATTCCCAGCCTATGTAAACAAACATCAGCGATTGGCTGGGAATACCCGTCAGTCTACCCGGATCAGCCCGACGGGTCACCCGGGTTGAACGGGTCCAATCACTAACCTGATCTTATGGGCGACAACGTCGCATGTGCGATGTATAAATTATCTCATATTTAAAAATAAAAAAAAAACTTTTAATTATTACATACACCAACAACAATCTAACCGTATAGCTTCGAAACTCAATATTCTAACCGTATAGCTTCGAAACTCAATATTCTAACCAAAAAACCTGTCTTCACGTACTTTATATTTATTTCTCTTTTCAAATTCAAGTTATTCAAGTAAATAAGTGCCCTCAATAGACACGCACATGTACGCAAAAATTCACAAATTACAACACAAAGGTATTTTATTACACACAATAGTATATTTCACATTTTTAACATCTCAATCAAAATAATATCAATATATATTCACATGACATTACCAAAAATTCGGCGATGAAGTCGCCACATGCACAAGTTCTTAAAAAAATTGCATCAGTCAGATACTTTAGTCAACGCCGTATGGCAGTAATCAGTAGATATAGAGATGTCTTTGTACATTTAAATCAAAATACCTATTCGTAATCTTTTTACCCTTATCAATAATGTATGACCAGCTTCCTCACAATTTCTCTATTTGCAAAGTTGATAAAAAAAATGTAACACCCATATACTGTACAATTAAATGTCTATTAGTTATTTTGGATTGACGGTTGTATATTTATATCTCTCTTATGCACGCCAATTTCTATGTTTCTTAGCATAATCAGTTTTTTTTCTTAAAAAAATATGAAATAATTTGTTTAATTAAATTTCTAGAAATATTAGGGCATCAGTATAATAACTGGTGTACATAATTATTGAGGAGGTATAAGCAAGAATGTTTTACCAAAGAACATATTCAAATTGACGCAACCCTTTTTTCGCTGCATTAAATTCATAAAAGATTTTCATTAAATTTTTTTTATTTTAATCAATTTTGACGGTTGCTCTTTTATCTACGTGAAATCTATCATCATATTTTCATCACCTATAAATAGTGAATAATTTCAAGATAGCATGATAGAAATTTGGTTTGATTTGATACATATTTTATATGACAAAATATTGTTACACGAGTTTTTATACTATTTTACAATAGAAACTTTTAAATTAAAGTAGCTATATCGAAATTTTTATAATCAAAGCTCCCTGAAATCTTGTCAGAAGATTTTTTGGACACTTAACTTTCATATAAAAGATTGGGATAAATTTGGATCAAGAGTCCCACCAACTTTCATTAGAAACGCTTCTGACATTACAAGCATGCAGTACGTTGACAATATTATGTACTTTTAACTTTAAAGAGTTATAATTAATAAAAAATATTATTTTTTCGAATAGATGTTTCGAACTTCACGTGAGCAAGATAAGATTAAAAGCAATCGTTTCACGAAATCCCATAAAACTATCGGAGAAGCAAATCCTTGACGAAAATTAATTTTTTCAATTTTGGCCAATCAGAGTTTTTGTTGATTAGCCAATCAAAACAAATTTTCATCATGTTTTTCAAGGTCTGGATTATAAAAGATTTTTGTGAACAAATATTGTTATTATCCGGCAAACTCTTATGATCATGAGTTGCAATCTGTCTTTTTTTTTTTTACGTGTTTACGTGTTACGATGTAATCATATTTATTCAATTAAAAACTCAGTCGATGACTCCCTACTAAGGTGTTTGGCATAGTGGCAAAGGCATGCCAATAGTGGCATGCTATAGTGGCATGCCAGTAGCATGCCAAATTTGTTTTTGGCATGCCACTAGATACAATATAAAAAAAAACTTTTTTATGATATCTATACAATATATTCAACTTGATTATTAATAATACAATATTTTATAGCATGCCAAAAGGCATGTCATGGTACAAATTTTGACAAAAGGCGTGCCTGTGGCATTGGTGTTGAACCTCAACTAAAAATCAAATCTATATAAGGTCACCTTAACATCTAATTATTAAATTTTTTTAACTAAATATTTGATCATTTCGAAAATCCTACATATATTACGAAATAAATATGAAAAACAACCTAGATTTTTTTTTAGATGCACAGGTTGAATTTTTTCCTTTTCAAAGTTTTCTTAAAAACTAAAAGTATTTTACACAGTATAATAACAAAGTTATGAAGCCTTTTTATAAATAATATTATAAATATTTAGTCCAAATTCTTTATTGTTAATATATTCGGATTTTTCACGATTAAAATATTGAATTTAAGCCGAATTGTAGGATTTTTTTATGTTTAAATATAAAATTGCTTCGAAACTTTTCTCGTAAAAACTTAATATTAATTCTTACAAAATATTACTTTGAATTATGGTATGGTTAGAGCTGGGCATCTATTTTTGTTATATACTTAGCAATGATATATACAAATCATATAAGCAATTTACATATTTGACGTGTAATTAAATTGTTACACGAAAAAAATTTATAGCAAATTTTTATATGATACCATATATAGTTTTAATTTACTTAGTTGAGGGTACAACCCCACTGTGGCATGCCAAAATGTTTTTTTTTGCATGCCAGACACCCTACTCCCTACCAATCATGATCATAAATTGCCGGATAATATCAATATTGGGCAATTTGTCGAATTCGATAAGGCCGTTTGAAATTGATTTCTCGTTTAACGTTATCCCCCCTCCGTCTCCTGAGACCCCCAAAAATTAAACAAATAGAAGTGACAGATTGATCGATATAATATTTTCGGGATTTTTGGTACACTATGTTTAATTTTTATGGTTGTTAATTTTTCCCCCATCCCCCCTGTGTAAGCGAGAAAAAATAACGTTAAACAAAATTTTAATTTCAAACGGCCTAATTTGGCCAACCGGGCAAATGATTGACCCGTGTGCCGCGAAGAGGCACGTTTCATTTGCCCTGGTTTGCCAAATTACTTTATTCGACAATTTTGCCAATATTGTATACATATGGGTGAAAACGACAAAGAAATTGTTTCTAAAGATACAAGCTTGGAAACGTTGATGAGCCCAATATGAGGCCACATGAAGTTAATTTTTCGTTTTGTATTACGTGGATTTAAAAAATCCGGCTGATCAGTCGGATTTTTTTTTCATTTTTAATTCTAAATCAAGACTCTAATTTATAAACTTTCGCGTAGTCGGAATCTTTAACTTCTGAGGCTTCCTTGAAATAACAAAAGGCATTTAAGCATTTTACTTGTTCGGATATTATAGATACGATTTCTATGATCTATAATACTTGTTGCAGATCATAATGAAATCAGATCATTGTGAAATTTAGGGGTCTCAATTTAAAGATATAAACTCTACCAAAATCCACCTATACTCTTTTCCTAATAATTCTAACCCTAAACCCTAACTTAACTATAAAAAAAAACCTAACTAAAAAGGTCCCAAAAATTTTTAAAAATCGTACATAAAATAAGTTAAATTTCATTATGATCTGATTTCATTATGATCTGCCACAATACTTAACTATAATTCAAGTTTAATCATAATTTACCACGTAAATTATTCTACCTCCTGAAAATGCCCAACAAAATGCTCGCGTTTTGTTTTATTGATTGTCTACTGTTCCGAAATAGTTCCGATATTATTCTTATATGTTTATTAAATAATTATCATTTTTTTTTTGAACTAGATTCATAAAAACTATTAAAATAAGTATTATCCTTGTTTTAAACAAAATTGTTTTTGAAAATTTTGGGTTAGCGGGTAATGAAAACGAAAAATTAACTTTGCGTGGCCTTGTTTTGATTATTTAACAAGAAGAAATCCATCCATTACTATACCCTCCTCCAAGCAATATACGCATTGAAAGTCATTTGACTATAATCACATGAATTAACCGGCACAGATTTACCTATTAATATTGTTTGTCTTCTCGAATTCCAGAAAATGGTGTTTTTATTATCACACCAACAATACAATCCAAATATAGACACTTAAGAAATTCGACTTCCTAGCATTACTCATCATGATTGACCCTGAGCTTCGATTTAGATAACAATAAGTCTTTGTCGCCCTAAGTCACATTCCCAGATCGTCCTCGTTCTACACTGCAGCAGGCTATAGCTAACGTTCCATTCTTCATACTTCTTTTATTCATTACTTTATCACTCTCTATTTTAATTCTTATTGTTTCAGAATATATACTTTGTTCAACGTCAGCATTCGATCTCTTGTGCTGTTTTATTACTGTGTCCCATTTTTCTATTATTCATTTGTCTGCACCGCTACTAACCACTGCTACTTCTTTACTATCAATTTTCCCTTTCTTACTATTCATCTTGCGCACCACAATTGCATTTTCATCACCGTTTTTAACATCTTTGCTCTCACTTTTTCCGATTTGTAATATCTCTTCTTTCATTGTCGCACAACTTAATACTATCATTACCATCGAATTCGTTTTTTGCTAACGAATTTCCATCACTCTAAATTTACCATTTTTATCAAGTTCAACCACATTGTCCTCCTTGTTGGGCACCACTGGTTTGTATGGTTTTCCTTCATCATATCAACATACATCCTAATTCCCTTCACAAATTGTCTAGAAGGATTTCTACTTTGGTAGGTTTCAAACACCACATATACACTTCTTCCCGTCCTATGCCATCTTGGTAGCATGGTCCCTGGCTGTTTATTTGTTCGAGTCGTAACTATCAGCTAGTGATGGGCAACGCGCGGAATCCCCAATATACACCGGTTGGCCAATATGGCGCGTATTTTAAACTGTATTAATACAATTGTAAGTAATTGGTCAATTAGAAGGAGGTTAGTCTATAGAGCCAGATTCGAATTGGATTCGGATATTTCTAGATCGGATTCGGATCCTATACTTGATTCAAACTTTTTCTTTGATTCGGATCCAGATCTTTTAACATACCCTCCCGGCCTATTCATGCGAAACACTAATAATATCCGAATAATTTTAGAATTTAGAGATTAGTGGTTTTTTTTTTGATTGATAAAGTTCACTAAATATTGGGGGAATGATTCATGTAAAATAAGTCATGTCAACGGGAACATTATCGGGCAAGACTGATAAAAGAAGCTCTTATTGAATTTAATAGAATGGGTTATTCAGTTCTGTGGCATACGATAAGATCTTTTTTTTTATTACGTATTTATACATAAACATAATTTATTATGATACTCTTTTCTGTATAGTATAACAATAAGTCAAGTAATCGCATACTATATCGGATTGATTAAAAGAGATATTATTCTATATTGTTAATGGTATGATTTTAAATCTAAACCCTTTCAGATTAAATCAATATCCTTGAGGTTCAGAGGAGCCAAACGCTTTCGAAACGTGAAACTTTCACCATTTTATCAAGCAAATGAATAGTAAAAATTTTTTGCACATAAATAAGAAGCAATACTTTAACTTGAATTAAAAATATTAAAATTAATCAGAAATGTCAAACGGTGGTTTTCCTACGTAGTAGAAATTAAAATAGTATGTATAACTCATAAAAGAATCAGTGTTGCAAATAGTTGTATAGCTAATGCCATGAAAGACGTTGCGTAGGCTAGTAAAAAAGAAAAAACGTATAGTATACATATCTGTACGTATAAAAAAAATTTGGGTCAAATATACTAGTGGTTATACGGGTTTGAGTATATAATATATCAGTATCGGTATAGTATAATTTGTTAAATAAGTATAGTGCGGTATACGTAGTAGATACACAAAATGTATAGTTTTTTAGTACTATATGTAATGTTTTTTTAGGATTAGCTTTATACATTATGTATAACCACAAATCATTTTTTATACCATTTAGTACAGGTGGTAAATGACCTGAAATGACCCAAATGACCCCAGTGACAAATAACTAGTCATTTGTCATTTCAAGGCCCAAATGACCTTAGAAGGTCATTTAACATATGTTAGTTAATATTCTAATACCTTCTAACCAATCAGAATTGGCCGCCAAGCAAAATTAACTTTTATAAAAATATAATTCAAAATTTTACAAAATTAATAATTATGCCTTAAGTAAATCTGTTCTGGATAACAAATTGTATATATTCTGAAAATTTAACGTTAATTGAATAACTTTTTATTAGTTCACCTCGCATTTTACGTTTATATGAAAAAATTTATATTTTTCGTGTCGATCATCCAATAAAATCAAACATAAGTCTAGTCCCTTATAAATTTACAATATTACAGATTTTTTTTATCGTTTGTCTTTATAAAAAAAATAATCATAAATTTATTACATAAATTATGATATATGACGACTAAGAACTATTGCATTGATAAGTCGCTTGATGCCCATCTTTATGTATAACAGTATTTAGTAAACTATATTCGAAGCGAGACCGCAAACGCATTCTGAAAGATTCAAATGGTTATTCAGCCTTAATTGCGCGATGAATTGACACCATACTTGGTAAAATGAAGTCGTAACACTTCTTTTACAAAGTTATGATAAATAATTGTACTTTATATATTGCTTTACCCAATTTATATAATATAGATTTTAAAAAAATTATATTAGATTTTTTATATACTAATTAAAAATATATTTTTTAAATGAAAATTTATTATGGTACGTAAAATCTTAAAATATAGCTTTGCTAAGAATGCAGTAAAGAGTGAAAGACGTTAAAATTGAAAAAAAAAAGTATTTATTATTGAGTGTTAAATATTTAAAAGTATTTTACTATTATTTTAATATAAAGACCGCGATATAATTTGTTGATTATACAAAAATTAATGAGACTAGAAATATGATTCTATTAGATGATCTACCACCCCAATGTAATATGCGAAAGTAATTAATAAAAAAGTATTTATCGCGCTTTTCAAATTACTGTGACCACTGATTTTCATACATCACACCAGCAATCAGAAATCTAGAATAAATGCAAATCTGTGATTGGTTAAAAATAATTTTTAGCCAATCACGTATTGGCATTTTTTCTAGATTTCTGATTCCCAGTGTGATGTATGAAAATCAGCGGACACAGTAATTTGAAAAGCGCGATAATTTACATGAAATTTCAAAATACATGCAATTTATTATCCCAAGCAAATTTATTTAAAGAATAAATATTAATTGACTTGGTAAAATTTTAATTTTGATATATAGCTACGGTTATCGATTAGAAAAGTAATAAAGTTCGATAATTTTTATACGAGTAATTCGACCAATAAATTACTTTATATGCAAATGACCCAAATGACCTGGTCATTATTCGATGACTTGGGGTCATTTTTAAATTTGATCAAATGGCCAGGTCATTTACCATCCCTGATTTGGCAATTGCGGACAAATTTACCTCATATTTAAAAACTTGGGAGTTTGCAAACGATAAACATGAAACATTTTTTGGAATCATAATTTCAAATTAATTCTAACATAGTTTCTAAATTGAAAAAAAAAACTATTTTATTTACAAAGACTTTTACTACGATGTTTTACACCTATGAATACATTTTCTCAAAACTAGCTAATTAATCAGTGCGGGATGTTCTAAGTAAAAATATTCTACAACCTTAATTCCAAATCCAAATACTAACCTTAACGTGAAAAATTTTGCGTTAAAATTTTTATTTACAAAAAGAAAAATCTACAAAATATAATAAAAACATATGATAGGTTCCAAACCACCATAGGTGCGTTTTTATAATTAATTTTTACGAAATATCTTGGCCAATAAATTTTTAGGAGTATAAATTACTTTATGATAAATGGGGATGGACTAAGAAGACCAACATTTGTCATTTTATAATCATTTTGAGATTTTTTAATTAAGATCTTGCTTGACCTCATTTATACGCTATGCAATTTTATCTCATATCAAATTAATAATAAATTAATGAGATATATTCACAGGTAAAATTTAAAAATTTTAACATGATGGCATAATTCGAGTGCCATTCAACATGTGATTTCGTGTACATGCATGTTGCGAAGTTATGTGATTGTATTGAGTGATAGATTAGAGTGCAAGTTGAGTGGCATTCGAATTATCTCATTCAACATATCAAGCGTTTCAATTTTGGCTAGTGATTAAAAAAAAAAACAAAATTAACTCCAACTAGGAACAAACGCATCAGTATGCTATATTTGAAGTTCTACTTTGTGTGAAATTAGTAAAATTAATGGCCAAATGGGTAGAGATCACACCGACGATTGTTGTGAATGGCTAGTCTATTTCTCGCGCACATTGTCTTATATATAAAAAATTATCGGACGTATTATACATTATAAATGTATAAATTTTTATTATACATAATGTAAGAATATACATAATCTTGTTATCATATCTGTTAACATATTAATTTCTTAACCCTGTAAAAGTTTTTTTTTTTATTTTGCTAAATTTATATTAGAATCATTTTCATTTTTTAGACAACATGGAGTTTTATTTCCTACCACTTCGCCATATCTATAAAAGTGAACATTTGTGGTTAAGCCTAGGATTTAGAACCCCACTGCCAAAAAAGATAACTCATTTTTTCTTTAAAAAAAAAAGAAAAAAGAGAAAGCTAGCTAAGACTACGCAATGATATTTACATCTTGCAAGATATTATCATCGTGTGAACATACGTAAAAGAATTGAACTGTGCAAGCTATTGTTTAATCAATAAATAATTGTGGGATCATGATAATGATAAACGGTTTTGGATTAATGGGAGTCTATAACGATAAAATTAAAATATTCTTTTTTTACTTCAAATGCAAAAAAAAAAAAAAACTAGATCCTGTTTAAAGGCTTGATTGACATTTGATCCTAGTTCGGATTTACAGTTTTAAAGCCCTAACAAAAAAATATTATTATGCACGTTACAGTAAGAAAAATCAACGGATCAAATATAATAAAGAGGGCCTACTATAAATCAATTTTATTAATGGAATCCCCTATACTATATTTGATCTACTATATATGGGTCTTTGCCTTGAAAATCAAGTTATGGGATAGTACGTAAATCATATGTCCCATATTTGATTTTCAAGGCAAAGACCCCATATAATACCATGTCAGATCAAAGATTCCCCTTTATAATTCCCAGCAATTGTTTCTCGAATTTTAAATTGTCATCCATTCATACTTATCAAAAATCACTACCATCAGCAAAATAACAGCACTGGTTGAATCGATGTCAACCAGATTTAATCATCTCAGATCAAACTTTCGGGACCTGTTATCGTGCCTTATAGTTTATGAAGCGAACCATCCCTAAATGATAAAAATAATTCTTTCGGCATTAAAATGAAGAAGAAAAAAGTTCTCTTGACCAAATTCATCTCCCAAACGAAAAATATTTGTTCGATTACACCAGTTACATATCTTAAATGAGCTACAGAAAGGCATTGACTCCTGGACCCCAACAATATAAACCCAAACATTTATAATGACCTCGTTGGTCTATGAAATGTAATCATCTTGAATATTTAAAAGTTGTAGTAATGTAGTAACTCTTTACAATTCCATTACACTAATATCACCTTGAGTTCTTTGAATCTCAAATGTGGAGTTACTTTTAATAATATTAAAAAAATAGCAGAGGTTCTTTACATGAATAATACATTGAACTCCCTAAATCTTTATAACAGTAAGATTTGTTCTAGAGAGGGGATAGAATTATCGGAAGCACTTGGCAAGAATACTACTCTAACTTCCCTAAACCTCGGCCATAACTTGGGCAAGGAGGAAAAGCGTTAATAAAAGCTCTTTGTGAAAACAGTACATTAAATTCTTTAGATCTTCGCAATAATCAGCTTAGTTTTAAAGAGAAAAAAGAGTTAGTAGGAGCCCTTTGTAACAATACTACATTAACTTAATTGAATCTTGACGCTAACCAACTTGGCCCTGAAGAAGGAAATGTATCAGCAAGAGCTCTTTGCAATAACGTTTCTTCTTTAATTAAATCTTGGTTATAACGAACTTGGTTCTCAAGAAGGAAAATCATTAGTAGAAGCTCTTTATAAAAACAATGTTTTAAGGTCTTCAGATCTTTGTAGTAATCATATTATTTTTGAAGAGGATAGAACGTTGTAAAAAGTTTTCAAAAAAACACTACACTAACTTCTTTAAATCTTGGCTTTAATCAATTTAGCCCTAGAGAAGGAAAAGCATTAACGGCAATTCTTTGCGTAAATACTATTTTGACTTCCTTGGATCTTTACTCAAATAGCCTTGGCCCTGAAGGAAGAAAAGCATAGGCGGTCGCTTTGTGAAAATATTGCCTTAAAGTCTTTAGATATTTACAATAATCAGATAGGTAATTAATTAGCAAAGGCTCCTTGCAAGAATGCTAATCTGACTTCTTTAAACCTTGGTTTAACAAACTTGGCCCTGAAGAAGGAAAAGCGTTAGCGAAAGCCCTTTGTAAAAACAATGCATTAGCTTCTTTAGATTTTGTAACAATCAAATTGATCCCGAGGAAGGAAAAGCATTTGCAAACGCCCTTCGAGAAAACACTAACTTTTTTAAATCTTTCTAATAATCAAATTGATTCGGAGGGAGGAAAAGCATTAGCAGAGTTTTTCTCTACAATACCGCAATAACACTACACTTACTTATTTTTAAATCTTGGTTCCAATAAAGGTGATGTAGGAGGAAAATCGTTAGTGGAAGCACTTTGCAACAACACCAGTTTAATTTCTTTGGGCCTTTTTTAACAATAAAATTCGTGATGTAAGTGGGGAAACACAAGCGAAGACTCTTTGTAAAAATTTTATGGTGACTAATTTAGATATTAGAAACAACCAGATTAATCGGAGAGTTTTTGATAAATTGAATGGGCCTTTCGCCAAAAGAGAAGTCAAGCTTCCTTATATAGCGATTACTACAGTCGGGGCTAGGTTGTCCGCACTGTAAAATAAATTATGGTTCTAATAATTAAGATTCATGAACTTTTCAAATGGATAAAAATTTTCGACATTCTAATTCAAGTTTTATTACTTTATTAAATGTTGACCAAATCACAAAACCTACTACAAATTATTTTGCTAAAAAAGATGTGGCCTCCAGTATATAAAATTGAGCGAGCGCTTAAATTTAATTGCCATGTAGATTTTGGTTCCGCATATAAATTTTAAAGATTTATATATATAACTCACATAAAATTTTATTCAGTATTCATTTTGCGAACACTTGAGCTTTATACACTGATAGCCTCTGCAGATCATGAGTTGCGTAAGAACCGGAGATTCTATAGACTTACCGATTTCAAAGAAATATTAATGTAACCGATCGAAAATAGAGATGGGCGATTGTCAATTGTCAATACTTATTATTACTTATCATTAAGAAATTTTACCACTAAATTTCTTTAGCAATCCGTTACTTATATTATTAATCCGGAGCAAGGACTATGATTTTCTGTTGCGACTAAGGCTAAATTCTGCGTGTGGTTAAGAAAAGTCAAAAAGATCTAGGTGCCGCACCAATTTTGTCACGGCAGATTCTCGATTTTGATTGGTTAACTGTTTACATAATTTTTGGCAGGAATTAACTTTTAACTTTTTCATGCCGAAAATAGAAATTTTTAGAGAAATAGGCCCGCATAATAATAAAATTAGCCTAGGAACATTTATCAAGAATCTACCGTGACAATTTTGGTGCGGCAACTAAGTCCAATGAAAATTCTGCTGTTTTATTTAAATCAAAACTATATATGCAGAATCATATGAAATTAATTATTTTGAATAGCACCCGGAGAGAAAGAAGAATTTCAAACATTCTCATTATTATTCTAACACATTTTCATAATTACATTTAAGCCTTTTTCTCCCTTTAGCTAACATTTCCCCTTTTTCTTACCCAGTCTTCATTACTATAACATTTTTAGAAAAAAGAACTAAAATCGAAGACAGATGTCCGCGCTATTTTCGTTATTTTAAATTTTCTCATTCATCGACACAATCACGAACGTGTACCATGGCCGCGCCCTTAGCTTACCAAGGTAATATTACCTTGACAGCTGTCAGGAAGGAGGCTTAGTTCAAGATATACGGCGTAATCGTTCAATGGGGACTTTGCGCGATACATTCACGGCCTTGTGCAGGGGAATCGTCATTCGAATTCGTGGTCCTGGGCAACGACGATTCTTTGCGTCATGACCGTAGGGCGTTCCTTGTAGGTTTCTTGGGTCCTGGGAGGATCTGGTTTTACCCGTGACACTGTATTAGCCTACCTACTAGTTTGAAACCATTAAGCCACGCATTGTTGAAATTATGCTAAAATTTTACTAAAATCGTGAACCATTGAATATTGAAATCATTAACTAGGGTGGTTGGCAAGCTGGCGAGGCGAGCTTTTTTTTTAACTCGACAAATAGTGGTGAGACACTCGTCATTTATTTGACGAGCTAAAAAAAAGCTCACCTTGCCAGCTTGCCAACCACCCTATCATTAACCCATCTACTGTTGAAACAACTAACCAACCATCTATTGAAATCATGAACCCGTTCACAATGGAAATCCTAAATCCAACCACTAATGAAATTATTAACTCACTGCTAAAATCCTGAACCCATCCACTGTTGAAATTATAAACTTACCCATTGTTGAAATCATTAAATCACGCACTGCTAAAATTGTGACCCGTCGATTATTAAAATCATTAACGCATTTAATGTTGAAACCACTAACCCACTCACTATTGAAATCATGAAACCGCTTACCATTGAAATCATAAATCTACCAACTATTGAAAGTATTAACAATCATTTATTTTGAAATTATAAATTCACCCATTGTTGAAATCATTAAATCACACTGTTAAGATCACGAACCCACCCATTGTTGAAATTATTAAAAACTCAACAATTGAAATGATAAACATCCACCCACTAAATCAGAACATATCCGCGTACTCATTGGAATCAGAACTATTTAGCTAGTTTACTTGTTTAGAACATAAAAAGAAAATATTTTTTTTTTTTTTTTTGAAAATCACATACCGGAAAGATTTAAAAATTTGGCCATATTTTACCTAATGTTGGCTCTGTGTCAATAATGGTGCTGGAAATAGTGTGCATATAAAATTATGTGTTTGCAGTGTCGGTATAGTGTCCTTAAAAATTTATTGCTTAAAGCTCATGCTTTTACTATTATCTTCGGTGATTTGGTCTAACGATTAATGCTTGAATCCGAATAAATTCTTTGAAATTAATAGGCATCAGCATGACATGAATTACGAACACGTGCAAAAGAAATCATGGGAACGAAATTTTACATGTAATGGATGACAATATATTGCTATAGCCCCTAACGTCCCAATCCTAAATTTCTGTCTTTACGCGCTTTGTTTATTTACAAAACAAGCCAGTAGGTGAGATTAATACCTAGTTTTTAATCATGGGAGGTATTATTTTGCAAGGATTCTACGTTGGGGTGTCGTATTAACTATTTAATCAAAACTATGTCAGTTTAATCATATTGCAGATTTGTCAATTTCAATCTATCATTATTAGTGATGTGAATTCTACCAAATTGGCATGTTTCTACCGGTATCTACCGGTAGGTGGTAGCTACCGGTAGCTACTACTACCGGTAGTTTACTAGTTACAAGATTTATTTGACAAATCATATACTTTTGATATTTATTTTAATTATATAATCTAAAATTTTTTCTATTATTTTATTGGTATCTACCCTGCATATAATTTGCCTACCGGTATCTACCGTTATCTACCGGTAGATACCAGTGGTAGATTCCTACCGGTAGCTACCAACTCACATCACTAGTTGCCATCCCTAGTTCCAACTCTGACCACGAGCGCCGGGGACCGATCTGAGATTCAATCGACGACAAACCACAGATTCATGCAGCAAAATCCAAAGCCACCGACACGACCAGTATAAAAAGACCATCGAAAATGACCGATTTCTACGCTCTTTCCCACTTTAAATTCCAATTTATTTGACTTGCATTTTCTCGACCCGACCCTTCCCACCCACACTGTAGTCTCTTGATTCTGTCATTTTCCTATTTAACAGCCGGCCTGCTTTGAGCAGGCGGGAAACCACCGGCTGATGCTGCTTCTGCTCGCTCTACTGTTACGATGATACCCGGAGCAATCTCACTTGCCAATCTTCCGGGAGCATATCATCGTTTCAGTTCAAATTACTTAAAATTACTAATTACTAATTACTTAAATTACCAATTACTCAAATCAATTCAATGTATTCTGCGGACTTAAAGTCCTTTAATTGAATTTATTTTCGGCACCTTTGGCTGTCCGGAATTCTTCCAAAACACGTGACCAAGAGTACCATGCTTTTCGATAACTTGAATGAATTGACCGAAGAATCACTTTGCAAATCAGGTGTCCTAGAATTTATGATAATAGCTGTAATTATATTATAACTAGTTGTGTCAGAATAACAGATTATTCATTTTTACAACTGGCTTAACCGAATTTATCCAATTTGGTTCGGTTATCAGATTAAATGGGCTGTGTTCTGCAAAAAGGGGGAAATTGACAAATTTTTCAAAATTAAGTTTTTTACATAAATTAAGTTTTTTTACATAAATTAATTTAAATAAGATCAGGATCATTTTTTATTTAAGACACAATTGTAGTTGTATTAATAAAATTATGCAGTATAACTCTTCAAAATTTGCAATTTCTTATGATTTATTATAAAATTAATCCTTTTTTTTGTCAATTTCCCCCCCTTTTGCAGAATACAGCCCAAATATTATTGTCTAATTGGTTCATAACACTAGACTAAACATTATACCTTCGCAAGGTTCCATACCACAACCAACTTTTGAGACTATAGTTATTTATTTACTGAATTGAAATTATTGAACTTTTATGTTTTTCTGGTTATTTATGAATTTGATGAGGAGATAATGTAGGATATCAATTAAAGGGTTATCTAAAACGGAGATAAATCATATCCAGAATTTTCGCGTCTGAACCAACTTTAAAAAAATAATTATTGATGCAATATTTTGCCAACAAAATAACGTCCTAGCAAGTGTCTCTTCAAGAAAACCAAGTTGAATAACGTTAAATCACGCAATAAAAGGTAGAACTACTAAGAATTGAAGTACTGTCTACCGTATATCAGATGGTAATAAAAATATATTGTGCTGAGCTCATGAACATTAACATCGTTTTTTTATTGTTTTTTGTTTTTTTCCTTTATTATTCAAATAATCCCCCATCACTATATCAAGATCACGGGAGGATTATTATTACTAATAACTTGTGTATTTCATAAATAAACTTTTGCTGATTGAAGGTTATATGTATTCTCTAAATGATGTTTGATCCGTTTTATATATACAATAGTATCGTCTTGTTAATTATATGAAGTTTTAAAAAATATTAAAGTGCATATAACTTTCTATCAAAAATTTCAATAAAATTCTTGCATTTATGAGTTGTATTTTAACTTGGATGAATAGTCTATTTTACTTCGAAGTTATGAAAGAAATTATATAAACAAATTACAACTGATTGATTGCTTCTTTGTGTTTTTATGAAAGGTGTATCAAGTGGATAAAAGGTGTTTTTATGATTAGCCAGCTACATCATGATTAAGCAGTATATTCAAAAAAATGAGAAAGTCACTCATGCAAAGAATAAATAAAAGAAATAAATAAAATAATGTGAAAATAGAAGTAGCAGGAGCAGCCTAAATCCACTTTGAGGTATTAAAGAAAAATGTTGGGATAGTAATTTTACTATATAAACACAACTAATCCTAACACAGCCTAACTTAAAATTAACCTAACTTAAAGTAAATTTAATATAATTTATATGTAAGAGTTATCCCAGTTTTAGACTAGTGCTTCGAATCGACCGGCATTATGCTACGTAATATTGCACAAATTCGGGCATACATGTGCTTAAGGATGAAATGTAAAAAAACATTTATAACAACAGTTTTATTTTTGCATTGTGTTGAGAAGAAAATTGCAAGGTAATAGATTAGATTGCTGGACCGAAGGCCTTAAGAATATTAATCTATTCCTATAATATAGCTTTAAATAGAAAGTTTAATCTTTAAATTCTTTAGTCAATTTATTTCAATCGCAATTTTGCACGACCGATTGTTAGAGCTCTACTTTAGAGGTACTCTAGATAAGAAATGTCCGAAAGAATAGCTAATAAAAACCTTTCATAGCAATTTAAGATCATACTATTTCATTTAGCTGATTAGTGTTATTTTGCAATTCACTCTCATTTACTTGTTTCATCAGATCCAAATCTCTGCCTTCACCGCCAAAAAGAATAAGTATGATTATACCAACAATGTTGCATGCGGAAAAAATTGCAATAACCATCCCATAATTTGGATTTCCGTTATTAGTAAAAGCTTTGCCTAGTTTTGCTTCGATTTGACCAGAAATCAAGCAACCTAGTTGATATGCCAATCCCGAAAATGTTACACGAAAATTTGGTGGTGATAATTCGACCAAATAAGCAGGCAAAATACTCCAGGCACCCTGATAAATAAAAATAATGAATATTTTCGTAAATCTTTTAAGTGAAACAAGTTATACTTACATTAATAAAGAAATATACAAAAAATGATCCAAAAATCAATGAACCTCGATTAATAACCATTGTAACTAAAGGTAAAAATGCTCCTGCTATAAGCATGCATATGATAATCATATATCTACGACCGCGCTTTTGAGAAAGATATCCTAATAATGTACCGCCAATTATAGCACCAATATTAGCCATAATTGCTGTTACATCGATTTCATCTTGAAATATGGAATCAAATATTGTTTTAAATCTTTTTTCATTTAAATACTGCAAAATCGATGAAATTAAAGGATAGATACCTGTTGAAAATAGCTGTTGTTGTTTAATATCTTTAAGATCTTTAAGATACGTATGAAAAAAATCCAGAATACCTTTTGGTAAAGAATTTATGTTAATTTACTACAATGATAAATAGTATTAATTTACAAATAGATAAATGTAATAATTAGTACCGTGAGAAGCTAAATTAAGACATGCCATTAATATGATTAAACGAATTATCCTTAGCCGGTCATTTTTAAACGTCTAATTTATTCAAATTACAAAGTAATATGTTATTAAAGCAAAAAAATGCACAAAGGATGTTGAAATTTAATGAGACCTTAAAAAATTTTATTTGAATTTTTTTAAGGCTTAGAAACTTTATTAATCAGAGTTATAGTAGGAATATATTTTTCGATCTAAATCTCAAATTAAATCTCTGAATCAGCAATAACAAATAAAATTAGCAAACCTTTTTTATTTCAGCTATCAAATTAAATCCATTGTTATTACGCTCGTCAAGTATTGTTTTCCATGATTTAGATTCTTTTATAAAAAGTCCTATTAAACCGATTAGAAGAGCGGTGATAGAACTTAGCCAGAACATTGTACGACAGCCTAGAGAATAACGCAATGATGCTGCAAGTATATAACCCGTTGGAAACCCTTGTTGAAAAATTCCAGAAAATAATCTGGTAAATAATTATATAAATCTATTAGATAAATTTGAAGGATAAATGTGAAGAAACTACTGAATTATTTAATATTTTTGACTTTTATACCCGCGAGAATTTATTGGCAAGCTTTCCATTAGTAATACAGCGCCTAGTCCCCATCCACCTCCTATTATGATTCCAAAAATTGCTCGTAATGCTATAAAAGCATATAAATTTTGTGCAAATCCTGAAACACCCACAAATATACAACATAAAATGATATTGATGATAAATGGGTTTTTTCTGCCGTATCTATCAGCTAATATACCAAAGATTAACGCTCCAACAGGGCGCATAGCTAATGTTACCAATGAGCTTGATAAAAAAGGGTAGTTAATTAGTTTTTTCATCTTTTTAATTTTTATAGACTCAATGTTAATTAGTCTTATTTTTTTTAATTTTATAGATAAGTACCTCACAGCAACTTCAGATGGTCGTGCATCAAAGTCGTGAGCAATTCTATAGATAATGATAAATTTAGTTAAGGAAAGTGATTGGATAAAATAAAATATAAATAACGTACCGTGGCGAAGCAAAATGAAAGAT